GGGGCCATTGGTCCCTTTATTTTCTTCTCTCTTTTTTTTGTCCAGTCTCTCTTATCTAGGTGGACGTGTAGATATATTAATATGTGCATAAAATTGGGGGTGGCTGTGACAGCACAGTACCATAGTGGCACATAAGAACATGATGACGGCAGCAGCAACGACAAGCTAACAAACAAAAAAGCCACTGACATACAAAATTTAAAAGAAGAGAAAAAAGGAAAAAAACAAAACAAATAGTCTGAAAAAAAAAGGAAAAAAAAAAATCCTGTTGGTAGTTCAAGTTCTGTTTGTTGACCTTTAGGAGCGTTTTCTGGACGAGTCTAATGGGTGCCACGTCCTGGCCCCAGAGTCCATCGTTTGTATTCCCTTGGGACCTCCTTGCTCTACTTCCCTACCGCTCCATTGCACGCCCCCAGTGTTTTGCCTCAGTGTGGTGGGGTCAGCCCAGTCACCCATCCCACACTGTGTCTCCGGTGCTGTCCCTTGCAGGACCATGGGTCAGCGCAGGATGTCGCATCTCGCCGTCCCTCCACCCTTCTTTACCCGTTCCTGGCACCAGCTATTCCTCCATGTCACTCTGCTTCCATACTGGGTTTAATAATTCCTGCACGGAATTCACAGGCAATACTCAAAACTGAGGAGGCTTATCTGGGAAGTTAGCAGATTACTACAAACTAAGATCAGCAAACAGTTAAGATAGAGCCATTGTTCAGTTAGCAGCCAAGGCTCTCAGTCACATTTTCCCATGGCCTTTGCTTCTGTGGGCCAGGAACAATCCTGTCTGCTGCTCTGCCTCACAGTCCCATAGTCTTGTTGATGCTACTCATCTGCTCTGTTCATGGGCTCTTTGCCTCCGCCTCTGGTGCCTCGCATCTCAACCTCCAGCAGAGGTCGACTTCAGACAGCAGAGATCTTGAATTCCTCAGTGGTCCTGGGATTTCTCTCCTGCTGAGACTGCTCATCCTTATAGCTAGGGGACTGGCAGCTAAAACTGACCAGTTCCCCATTAGTTTTACACTTGTCCTGTTTGTATAATCTCAACCAATCATTTGGTGAGAATTACAGAGAAAAAGATAGAAAAGCCATGTTAATAAATTTTACTCCACACTTTGGATGGTTATAGTGCAAAAAATAGAATCATGCTGTCATAGCCTAAAATTTTCTTAATTCTTTACATATAAAATATAATTTACTTGTCTAGGCTTTTAACACCCTCTAGCTTACCTCCATTATTTAAAGGTTGAGGTATTACGTATCAACACCATTAAACATTTTTTGTACCTTTAGAACAAGTAAGTATTGAAAAGCTCAAATTGCATAAGGGTTTATAAGAATCTAATTCCTAATGTTTTCATTTTGGTGATTTGGTTTATGTCATGGTTCTGTTGTGATACATTTTTTCTTTTGATGCAGATAACTCAGGAACTGAAAACCAAATTATGATGGCAAACAGCCCAGAAGACTGGTTGACTTTGTTGCTCAAACTAGAGAAAAACAGTGTCCCCCTAAATGATGCCCTTTTAAACAAATTGATTGGTCGTTACAGTCAAGCAATTGAGTCACTTCCTCCAGATCAATATGGCCAAAATGAGAGTTTTGCTCGAATCCAAGTGAGATTTGCTGAATTGAAAGCGTAAGTATTGACATTTTAACTTCATTTAACTAATTATATTGTATAATACAGAACTATAAGCAAGTTGAAAACGTTAAGATTTCTTGTAAGAAAGAAAATATATATGTAGATATTTTAAACCAAATCCTTTGGTTATAATGAGGAGTTAATGTAAACCCTTACAGAGCCCTGGTGGCATGTAGACTAGTGTACTACATATTAACTTGCTAAACCACAAGATCAGCAGTTGAAACCCGCCATTGGCTTGCCAACCTGTCTTATTCTGTAAAGATTTCAAGTGTCTGAAACCCAGAGTCAGTTCTATTGTGTCCGAAAGGGCAAATGTGAGTGGGAATCAACCCGATGACAGCAGGTTGACTGAGAGTTGACAATTTCCTGTGTACATGAATCCACAAAAGTTACATGTTCTAGATTCTACCTACAACGAATTTTAAAAAATAACTTATTGGCATTTAGTGTCACACATAAAGCATTCATGTCATTTGGAAAATAGAATGAGGTGTTACCATGTTTAAATGTCTGTCATTTTCTTAACAATTAACTGTAGATTCCTTCCTTTTATAGTATTCAAGAGCCAGATGATGCCCGTGATTACTTTCAAATGGCCAGAGCAAACTGCAAGAAATATGCTTTTGTGCATGTATCTTTTGCACAGTTTGAACTATCACAAGGTAATCTCCAAGTGTCAATTTCACATTGAGGTATTATTTTCTATCTACCAGTACCACTATACAGTTCTTTTTTAGATGTTCCTTTAATCCTTCTATTATTGCCTCCCGTGAAGGCAGGAAATGAAGTGTAGGTGTGAGAAAGCATCTACATTTATATTTACAAGAAGAATATAAAGTAATTTCCCCACACTGTAGAATAAGAACAAGTCATAGTTATTAGCAGACTTCCAAAGCAGTCTATGACTTTAATAAATGTCTTAATTGGTAGTTCTTATCTTAGCCTCTCTTTATTGTCTTAAGATACCCAGTATGGGATCTTACCAACACAATAAATGTGGGTTTAACTATATTAAATACATACATGCATTCTTGAAATGTAATTGTATCAGCATCCAGAGGCCATATCATATTCATCTTTAGACCTCTAGTGTCTAACTTAGTTAAAGGTTCTAATAAGTGTTGATGTATATTCCCATCATATATATCACTTCTAATATTTTTAAATCAAATACTAGGCTAAATATATTGGATATATTTTCAGCTAAAAAAAACCTTTGATCTTCTCTCTGTAGTCAGAAACATGACTTTTTCTTTTAGGCAATGGTGTGATTAGGTCTGGCTGCTAAAAATTATTCCATAATATTCCTGTTTTAATTTGTTTACATGAATACAATTGTTGGAGAATTCCTGTTAGCAAAAGGTTTCCAATTTTGGTTTATGATCCAAAGTCATTGAATAATATTTGGTTGAGAGCAGCTTTGGGCTCTTGGGTAAGTAGAACATTGAGGGTTTAAATTCCCTTTCACTGTATTCCTCGGGTTTCTACTGTTCTTGCTGTGCCTTCTGTAATTAAGTTATGGGCAATAGTAATAAGCTAATGAAGAATTACATCTTGTACAAAGAAATCATTTGTTATTAAGTGTTATCAGAAGAGAGTTGATTTATATGAGTGAGAAGAGAGAGAAGTTGCTTGTTTACCCATTAAATAAAGTGCACTGCATCATCAGAACAAAAAATCTTACCATAGTGAATGATGGGGGGAGTGCGGAGTGGAGATCCAAAGCCCATTAGTAGGCCACTAGAGATCCCCTTGCAGAGGGGTCTCGGAGAAGAGATGATCCAGTCAGGGTGCGATGTAACAATGATGAGAAATACAACTTTCCTCTAGTTCCTAAAGGTTTCCTGCCCGCTCCCACTACCATGACTCGAATTCTATCTTGCAAGACTAGCTAGACCAGAGGAGGTACACGGGTACACAGGAAGGGTAAAGGGAGAATGGGTAGGAAAGAGGGAACCGATTACATGGAACTGTGTGTGACCTCCTCCCTGGGGGACAGACAACCGAAAAGTGGATGAAGGGAGACGTCGGACAGGGCAAGATATGACAAAATACCCATTTATAAACTATCAAGGGCTCATGCGGGAGGGGGGAACAGGGAGGGAGGGAAAAAATGAGGACCTAATGTCGGGGGTTTAAATGGAGAGAAAATGTTTTGAGAAACGATGTACAAATGCGCTTTACACAATTGATGTGTGTATGGATTGGGATAACAGTTGTATGAGCCCCTAATAAAATGTTAAAAAAGAGAAAATAAATAAATAAATAAAAACAAGGAAAAAAGAAAAAAAAAGTGCATTGACTTTGGGATAAAATTTGTTTTTTTAAAAATCATTTTATTGGGGGAATCTTACAGCTCTTATCACAACCCATCCGTACATCCATTGCATCAGGCACTTTTGTACATATCATTTTCAAAATATTTTTTTCTAGTAAGCCCTTGACATCAGCTCCTCATTTTTTCTCCCTCCCCAACCCTCCCTCCTTCATGAACCCTTGATAAATTATAAAGTATTATCTTCATATGTTACTTCGTCCACTGTCTCCCTTCTCCCACTTTTCTGGTACTCGTCCCCCTGGCATATGGGTTGGGAGGTTAATATGTTGATCATTTTGATCGGTTCCCCCTTTCTCCCCCCACCTTCCCCCTACCCTCCTGGCACTCTTATTGGTCCTGAGGGTTTTTTGTTTAAATCATTTTATTAGGGGCTCTTACAGCTCTAGTAACATTTCATACATCAATTGTATCAAGCATATTTACACATATGTTGCCATCATTTTCTAAACATTTACTTTCTATCTAATTGAGCCCTTGGTATCAGCTCCTCTTTTCTCCCTCCCTCCCTTAAGGTCCTGAGGGGTTTATCTGACCTGGATTCCCTGTATTGTGAGCTCTTATCTGTACTAGGGTACATGCTCTGAAGCCAGATTTATAAGGTAGAATTGGAATCATGATAGTTGGGGGAGGAAGCATTAAAGAACTAGAGAAATGTTGTATGTTTTGTTGGAGCTATACCGCACCCTGACTGGCTCATCTCTTCCTTGTGACCCTTCTGTAAGGGGATGTCCAGTTCTCTACAGATGGGCTTTGAGTCTCCACTCCACCCTCTCCTTCATTCATATTGATATGATTTTTTGTTCTGGGTCACATTGATAGGATTTTTTGTTCTGGGTCTTTGATGCGTGATACCTGATCCCATCTATACCTCATGGTCACAGAGGCTGCTGTGCTTCTACCATGTGGGCTTAGTTGCTTCTCAGCTTGTTTATCTTCAAGTCTTTAAGACCCAGATGCCATATCTTTTGATAGCTGCACACGTCAGCTATCTTCACCACATTCACCACATTTGCTTATGCACACATGTTGTTATAGTGATCGTGTCGGGTTGGTGATCATAACAGAATTCCGGGTTATTAGAACAAAGTGTTCTTGCGTTGAGGGAGTACTTGAGTAGAGGCTCAATGTCCATCTGCTGCCTTAATACTTAACGTATATGTACATAGATCTATTTCCCTATCATATATAAATATATTTACATATGTACATGCCTGTATTGAGACCTCTGCAAATGTCCTTAGCCTCCTAGTTCTTACCTCTATTTCCTTTTCTTTCCTCTTGTCCCACTATCATGTCCGTCCTTCATTCAGGTTTCAGTAAGTCCTCTGCTACGTTGCCCTTTATCAAGCTCCACCAAGCATTTTATGCCCTCCTTGCCATCAATTTTAGATCACTTGTTGCCTTGTCCCTGTTTTTTTTTGACACCCACTATCCTTTCTCCCGCCTCCCCCTCCCCTGTGTGAACCCGTTGTTTTGTCCTCAGGATTGTTGGGATAAAATTTCTAACCTGTCTTATTTAATTTTTTCCCAGGTTCTGATGAATAAGTATCTGGATAAGTGAAGATTGCTACACTAGCTTGACATTTTCCTTTAACTTTGTAGGTAATTTCAAAAAAAGTAAGCAGCTTCTTCATAAAGCTATAGAATGTGGAGCAGTACCAAGAGAAATGTTGGAAATTGCCATACAGAATTTAACTCTCCCAAAAAAGCAGCTGCATTCAGAGGAAGAAAAGAATTTATCAGGTAAGCATATTAGTTTTAAGGCACCTCTGTGTGTGTGTGTGTGTGTGTGTGTGTGTGTGATGCTGCAAATAACAGTGAGAATATTTTAGAAAAATATTCAAGATGTTCAATATTTACAGTTATATTTTAAATGTAAGGGAGATAAAAGTCTTTTAGATTTAACTTCTATGTGGAAATTTGGTAATTTTTTCCTAGCTAATCAACCTCTTTTTGGGGGGGGTGGGGTGGGCGGGGTTGGGTGACTAATCAACCTCTTAATGGTCTTGAATTAAAAGCAACTCAGTAAAGTAAGAGAAAGATGTTTTTCCTTTAGAAGTAGAGAATTGCCAGTTCCCTTAGAAAAGCTTATCCACAATAAAATAGAATCTGAAGGATAATGAATTGTTTTAGTATCTGAATCTTATTTGAGACAAAAACTTATTTAGAATTGGCTTTTTAGATATTTGTGAGATTTGTATATACATATAGTCTGTATGTCCTTATACATTTAACTGTAATTTCTAAATTCTTTAATATCAACAGTATTAACTGCCCAGGAATCATTCTCCAATTCACTCGGACACTTACAGAATAGGAACATCAGTTGTGAATCCAGAGTTCTGGCTATTAAGCCCAGGTTTTTGTATGGGTAAGGAATTGGACAAATTTTTAAATACACAGTCTACTTTTGTGTTTTATGTGTACACATGTGTTATGAAGGAATGATGACAGTGTTCAGCAATCAAATAGAAACATGTTGTTCTTTGAAAAATTGGTGGTTTGTTTGGTTTGTTCTTTTTCTATTTAGGGAGAACATGCCCCCTCAGGATGCAGAAATAGCTCACCAAAATCCTGTGAAGCAAACAAACAAAGCTAAACGGGTACATTCTATTCAGTCCACTTTGGATTAGGGTGTTGGTGGTGAAGCCTTGTTTATTTTCTAGTTGGTTACCTAATCTTTCCAAAATTTTCAGTCATGTCCTTTTGGAAGAGTCCCAGTTAACCTTCTGAATAGCCCCGACCGTCATGTGAAGATGAATGGTTCAGGTCTACCAAGTTGCAGCAAAAGGTAGGATTGGTTTTTGATTTTCAAATTTGTTTTCAATGGTATAGAAAATTTTTTATTGGGTGATAGTAATTATGATTGATTTCCATTCATTATTAAAAGTTATAGTCTCTAAATGCTGTCAGAAACAAAAGAATGAGTAGAGATAATTGTTTTATTTTGCTTTTGCTTTGTAAAAATTTGTTGAAAAATTATTTTATTTGGCATAGAAGAGAGAAGAGATGTAGAAATGGACTGATACACCATCAAAGCTGTCTGGCAGTCTCTCTCTTTTTCGTTTATTTTAAATACTTATTAAAGGGAGTATTTTAAGAATCTAAAATGATGGGGAAAATTACTAAATTTATGTGAAGTTTTAAGAACTATGCAAACATCCCAGGGATAACAACTCCTGATGTTTGAGCATTTCTCACTTTCGAGTAGACTCTTGCAAGAGTTTTGCCTACTGTGTAAGTGAGTCTCCACAGCAGAGGTCAAGAGTTGGTGACAGTATCCTTTATTCAGCTGGTACAAGGAGAAAGGCATTTGTCACCCGGAAAGCTAATTCCCTTATTAATTTCCTGCAGGTGTTTAGAGCTTCCAGAAGTGAAGCAAGGTAGGCTGAGATGATATTGTCTATCACATCTGATGTGGTCCTCTTTCTCTACATCAGCAGTTCTCAACCTGTGAGTCGTGACCCCTTTGGGGGTAAAACGACCCTTCACAGGGGTCACCAGATTCATAACGGTAGCAAAATTACAGTTATGAAGTAACAACGAAAATAATTCTATGGTTGGGGGGTCAGCACAACATGAGAAACAGTGTTAAAGGATCATGGCATTAGGAAGGTTGAGAACCACTGCTCTACATTAAAAGAAATGGTTATCTAGACCTCCAGCTCAGCTTAGGGAGAGAACTTTGCTGGTATAGTCTTAACCCTAACCACTATTTATAGCATGGTGTTTATTGAAACAGACTGTAGATTCCAGAAAATAAACATTAGAAAACTGTTTTGTGGGGGTGAGGGGGGTGTTAAGGTGGTGTCGTCTGTAAATATTATAAAATTATAAAAATTCTTGTTTTACCTTGACTAAGTATAAATATTAGAGAAGCATTTTGCTTGTCAAGTTAAAGGGCCCTGGTGGCATAATGGTTACACATTGGACTGCTAACCGCAAGTTCGCTGTTCAAAACTACCAGCCACTCTTCGGGAACAAGACGGGTCTTTCAACTCCCAGAGAGAGTTACAATCTCGGAAACTCACAGGGACAGTTCACCCCTGTGCTATCGGGTCGCTAGTAGTCCCAATGACACAATGGCACTGAGTTTGGTTTTAGTTTTTTGTTAAGGTTAAACCGTGAAACAATGCGTTGACTCTTACCTCATCTTGGTCATCCCTATTTTAAATATGTAGCTGAAGAACAGAGGAAAATGCCTCCCATTCCAAACAAATCAGTCATGATCCTGGTGCCTGTAGTGATGGACATTATGCCTAGGCACTGGGATGGGCACAAAGTAGCTTATACCCTAGTCATTTGAAGCTACTTGTAGTCTGAAATGTTGTTAAACCTACCTACTGCTGTCTCTCGTTCTTTTCCCATTAACTCTATGTAACAAAGAGGTAGGCAGTCACTCATCTCTCTTATTTCAATCATTTTCACATTCATCTATTATTTAAAGTTTGTAATTATATCATTTTTAAAAAAATTGGTTTTAAGAAATTCTTTTCAATTGAAGAAAGTAGGTGTAATACCTGTTAGGCTGCTAACCATAAGGTCAGCAGTTCAAAAGCACCAACCGCTCCTCTCAAGAAAGATGGGACTTTTTACTACCATAAAGAGTTATAGTCTTGGAAACCCATAGGGGCAGTTCTACCCTCTTCTACAGGGTGCCTGTGTGTCGGAATCAACTTAGTGGCAATGAGTTTCTATGTTTGTTCTTTTGGTTTGTATGTATTAAAAATAAATATTTAAAAATATATATGTTGAAAGGATTCATTTAAACTAGGTACTTTGTTTTGTGGGCAGTAGACAGACCTCAGGATCAGAATGCCGAGATGGGAGTGTGCCTGGTTCTAAGTCAAGCGGAAACGATTCCTGTGAATTGAGACGTTTGAAGGTACTTCTTTTTCTTAGACCATTCTGTGGGGTAAGGAGTGCTGATCCCGGCTCCATGAAGCTTTTCTGGGGAAGGGTTTACAGTATATACCGCCAACAGTGCTCCTGATAGTCCTCGCCACAGGATCACTCTGGAGAAGTAGTGCCAAAGCCCTAAATGGTTTCTCCAAGATTAAGGTAGTGTAGCAGTTATTATATATATTTGTAAGCAGTTTAGTGGACTTAGGACAGGTAACAGTTGGGGGCCGCACGTTTTCTTTGCTTGTGGGCTTAATCATGTAACTCTGGCATGGTGGAGAGCAGAGGTTAGGGTTTAGATAATCAGCTCTGACCTCCTTATTGTATAACCATCTAAGCCAGGAAACAATTTTAGATCATTGAGCATTAGATTTTTTTTTCTTCTTTTTTTTTTTGTCTTTTAAAAATCATTTTATTGGGGGCTCATACTACTCTTATCACAATCCATCCATCCATTGGAGCACTAGATTTTTAAGGGTTATGCTGTTTTGTTGTATTTGAGTTAATTCCTAAGGTTCATGTTATAGCTATTGTTATATCCTTTGTATAATAGCCCTCATTGATAGCCTATGCTGTAAAATACTAATACAAATACTCATTTTGATGAATGTTTTTCTGATGGATAAAATCATATTTCAGAAAAAGCTCATTTTTCATGTCATAGGCATGTGCTATGTTTGATTTAAACTTTGTCTCTTTTTAAGTGAATATAATTTAGCGATTGATTAATACATCCATTGAAAACACATTGGCCAGATTTATGGTTATGGTTCTTCATTTTGCTTTAATCGATACTTTAGTAAAAAGTTAATTTGGGGGGGGCTTGTGAGTGTACATGTAATTGTGCTAGCTAATTTTCTCAACAATCATCTCACACTCATGAGACATTACTATATTGAATAGTAAGAAAATTAGTATCACTACTGCTTATGAGATTTTGTTTTTATATTCTTTTTTATGTAGGCAGTTCAAAATATCCAACCCAAGGAACCTTTGCTGTTAGATGAGAAAAGTTCTGACCTTGCTACTGATTCAATAACTCTGAAGAATAAAACTGATTCAAGTCTTCTAACTAAATTAGAAGGTGAGAGTGATAAAATAGATAGGGTTCTTTAAGAAAGCATTTTTTCTTTCAATTTGAGAAAGCAGAGAAACCACCTAAGAATTGCATTGTAAGAATTGTGTTAAGTTCTTTTTATGTTTGTATTTCCAATGAATTGTATAGAGTGAATGACAAGTATTGCAACAAAGAAAATTTATTTTCCAATTCTTACATAAAGTTGCATAAAGAAGGAATAGTGCAATGGTACTGAATTATTTTTCTCGATTTACTTGACAACACAAATACATACAAGGAGACTGCAAAGAATTGTGGAAATTTACATTATCATTTAATTTCCATAACGTTTTTGAAACCCTCTTCTTCTTTCCAGGAGCCATGGTGGTATAGTGGTTATGTGTTGGTCTGCTAATTACAAGGTCAACAGTTCAAAACCACTAGCCGCTCCTCAGGAGAAAGATGAGGCTTTCTACTTCCAGAAAGAATTACAGTCTCATAAACCCAGAGGGACAGTTCTACTTTGTCCCTGTATGGTTGCTATGAGTCAGAATTGATTTGGTGGCAGTGAGTTGGGTTTGGGTAGGTTTGGTTTTGCATTCTTTCTGGAAAGGACAATGCAGAAGCTCTAATTATATAACAACTCTCTATTTCCTCTTTTGCCAAACTTTTGGTTTTCTACCACATACGTATTGTGAGAAATGTTCTACGGATAGATAAATGAGTGGGACAGAATCCTAAGGAGGATCCAGTCCAGTGTGGAAGATATGCTGATAAATATATTGCTGGGTAGAACAAAGAGAGATATTGGGAGCCACATAAATAAAATGCTATAAGAACTCACAGGAAGGAGAAATTTAAAGAACTAATTGGTTTAAGGAAATACTTGGTAAAGGAGATGAAATTTGAAGTACTATCACAATTTAAATGGGAACAAATAACAATAATGAGAGTGTCTTTGATGGCGATACTAATTTAAGCTTGAATTTTTATGGATTAAATGCCTTCAGCCTTCTCCAACTGTACCCCCTCCCTCACCAAAAAAAAACTGTAGCAACTTTATATGGGGTTTCCAAGACAATAAATCTTTATGGGAATTTGAACACTATCATGAATAGGGTGTGATCATTGTTCAGACAAAGCTTGTCAAATTGGATTAGTTGGGTTTTTTTATTTTTAATAGGACAAAGAAGGAACTTAAAACTAGGCTTGCCCCAAGGTTGTTAGGTATTCCTAGTACTTCCCATTTTTTTGTCCTAAAGCTGTGACTCCCCTGGATATTCTCAAGGAAATTCTGGATAAACTGGGAGGGTTGGTCACTCTAGAATAATCTTTTCCCATTTTTCTAAATTGTGAGCTGATTCCTATTCCTAGTATTTGGAGAAAATACTTATATTCTATATTGTCATGTCATATTTTACTCTAAGCTGACATGATAAAAAAATTATCTTTATCAAATGTGCTATACTTATGTGACGCCTATTTTTCTAAGTGAATACTTGTTCAGTACCCAAACTATGCTAAGTATGTATTTTTAATGTGGTAAACATACAAACAAAACAGAGCTCAAATCAAGAATGAAGCCTGATGTAATGGCACAAATGAATGCACACATGCAGACAGAACTAGATTTATTTAGCTCCCCAATAGCCTTTTCCAACCTTACCCATTCTTCACAAAAATGTAATCACTATTTTGACTTCCAACACGCTAGATTAACTTTGTCTGTTTTTAAATTTCTTGAAGATGAAATTATTGTATGTGCTCTTTTGTGTGCTGCTTTTGCTCACGATTGCTTGTAAAACTCATGTTGCAGTAGTAGGTGGGCTTTTATTGCCATATAGTATTTAATTATGCAGATTGACTACAATTTGTTTTTCCAAATGTCCAAGGATAATAGTTTTGTCTGTCACATGTAATGCCGTGAGTGCTCTCCTGTCTTTGGCTCATACACAGGAGTACGTTAACGCATCAGTGAGACAATGGAATTGAGTGATGATTCCTTTTCTCCAAACTGTTTTGAAACCCTTTCATGGTTGGGTGCATGTGAACTGTATTTTAGTAAATAACGCACCCATGCAAAATAACTTGCCCACACAAAGAACATTTACATAAATAGCACTGGGCATGAGTATGTAGTTGGCCAAAAAGGCATATAATGGGTTTGTTATATGGTATGCCCTGGCCTACCAACTGAGGGGTTAGCATTTCAAAACTTCCCAGAGGAAGAAAGTCTGGTCATCTTTTCCATTAAGATTCTCCCCATGGCAACCACGTGGAAAGCTGTTCTCTGCTGAAGCACATGGGGTAGCCATGAGTTAGAATCGACTGTGTGGCAGACGCTTGGCTTGGTATTTATCTCTCTTTCTGTTCTGAATTTAACATTTGTGTTTGTGTAAAATCAAAGATCATGATTTCCAACCCAACCCAGTGTGGAGGTGTAATTTATCCAGTAGTGTTTCTTGGAAAAATTCACTTTCCCCCAACTAGTTTTAGAATATTGGTGATCCTACATAAAGAATCAGAACCTACTTATCAAGGAAGTACATTGCATGTGGTTTTGGATTCTTCGTTCATCTTGTGTTCATAGTGCGCAAGTTTTTAATATCTTTATGCTTTCTACTTCCTTGCCATCAAGCCAATTTTGGCCTTTTGAATATCCATGTAAATATGAGAATATTTATCAGTTTACAATGAGAAATGAAATCTTGATTGAAATCAAATTGAATCTGTAAAATAATTTAGGAAGAATAGTTATCTGTATGGATTTCCAAACCATGATTGTAATGTATCTTGTCAAATAAGCAGTCTTTAAAATACTGGGAATGATTTTCTGTGTAGAGATCTTACATGTTTTGTGAGATTTATTTCTAAGTACCAGATTTTTTTTATATTATAATAAATGGTATCTTTTTTTCCACTTTAATGTGCTTCCTACTTGTTTGTTGCTGTTATATACAAATACCATTGATTTTTATGTCTGAATCTTAGAAACAGTAAGATTGCAACATTCCTTGGTTTAGATCTAACAGTTCTCCTGTGGGCCCTTTGGATGTATACCCATGTTGTTTGAGGGATGTAATGTTAGAATGTTCCCATTCTAATATCTTCCATTTCGCCTTGTTTTGTCAGCAAGCTAACTATTCTACAGCCATGGGGATGCCATGCAAGTTTTTAAAATCACTTTTATTTTTCTCTTCAAGCGTTTTTGTGCATTATAGAAAATTGAAAAACCAAGAACACAGAAAGCATCCAGAATCACTTTAATAGTTACCATTTGACCTGTCTTTTTACATCCTATGTATGTGTATAAATGACAAAACATACAGTTTTAGGTGGTGGAGGTCACACAATATGAATTCATGCTTCCCCCCCCCCACACATCACTAATATTACCAGTTCAAATTCCCAAACCCATGAGTATTTTGACAAGCAAGAATACAATATGCCACCTCAATCAGGAAAAGAAACAAAAATTCCTTGGTGGGTGGGGCAGGTAGAGTCATAAAAGATAAGAATGATTAACAGGGCTCTAGATAAAGGTATGGGCAGAGTTACAAATAAAATACTGCATTCCTTAATGCTCATTTAAAAATGAAAGATAAAGAGGACACTAAATATCATATTTTTAAGAGAATTGTTAGGCTTTAAACAAAATATTACCAAGGTATTTCCACTGAAATTTTTTATTAATAAATAATTTTACTGAGGCTCTTACAGCTCTTTTAGCAATCCATATATCAATTGTATCAAACACCTTTGTACATCTGTTGCCATCATCATTTTCAAAATATTTTCTTTGCTTTAGCCCTTGGTATCATCTTCTCTTTTTTTCCCTCCCTCCACCCTACTCCCACCCTCATGGACCCCTGCTAAATTATTATTATTTTCATATCTTACACTGTCCGCTGTCTCCCTTCGCCCATGTTCCTGTTGTTCGTCCCCTTTGGAGCCGGTGAGGGCTGTTATATGTCGATCATTGTAGTCGGTTCCCTGTTTATACCCTTCTCCCCACACCTTCCCCTTACCCTCATGGCATTGCTACTTCTAATATTGTTTCTGAGGGGTTTAGCTATCCTGGATTCCGTGTGGAGAGCTCTTGTCTGTTGTACCAGTGTTCTTGCTCTGGTCTAGCCGGATTTGTAAGGTTGAACTGGTATCATGATTTTGAATGGTGGGCGGGGAGGCAGGCATTAAAGAACTAAAGGAATGTTGTATGTTTTGTTGGCGCTGTGCTTCACCCTGGCTGAGTTGCGCCTTCCTTGTGACCCTTTTGTGACAGAATTTCCAATTGTCTACAGATGGGCTTTGGGTATCCACCCTGACCCCCATTGTTTGCTTCAATATATTTATTTTGAGTCTTCTGATGCCTGATACGTGAGCTAGTCAACACCTCGTGATCACACAGGCTGGTGTGCTTCTTCCATGTGGGCTTTGTTGCTTCCATGCTAGATGTCCCTTGTTTATCCTAAAGCCTTTAAGACCCCAGACACTATAGTTTTTAATAATTGGGCACCATCAGCTTTCTTCACTGCCTTTGCTTATGCACCCATTTTGACTTCAGCAATCATGTTGGATGGCGTCACAGAATTGCAAGTTATTAGAACAAAGTGTTCTTGCGTTGAGGGAGTGTTTGAATAGAGGCCCAATGCCTGCCTGCTATCTTAATACTTAACATTTAAATATAAGTACATAGATATCCCTATTGTTATATATTTACATATGTGCATGCCTATATTTATACCTCTATAAATGTCTTTTGCTACCTAGTTCTCTATATCTTGAAAATGTATTTCTATAGTACAGCCCTTGCACCAACCTACCCAATCTGATGTATACTTCTCAAAGATGGATGAATAATTCCATGTCCAAGATGCTTTTCTAAACTATAACAAAATATTTACAAGTTGGCTAACTCACTAGTCTCACTAGTACCATGTTTTATCAGACGTGTCTTGTCGCCTCAATACATCTGAAAAGCATAGATGGTATAAAATAATAAACATCCAGAATAAGCACATGTGTTTTATAGAAAATGCACAGATAGACTTAGGGCTATAATCTAAGATAGTTTCCTGGATAGGAAGATACTAGCCTGCAGTCTTTCCTCTGCCATTCTGTTTTTTATAATTGGGCACCATCAGCTTTCTTCACTGCCTTTGCTTATGCATCCATTTTGACTTCAGCAATCATGTTGGGATGGCGTCACAGAATTTCAAGTTATTAGAACAAAGTGTTCTTGTGTTGAGGGAGTGTTTGAATAGAAGCCCAATGCCTGTCTGCTATCTTAATACTTAACATTTAAATATAAGTACATAGACATCCCTATTGTTATATATTTATATATATAACACCTGCAGTGACAAAGTACAGAATGACCAGCTCCAAGAGGTGCATTAACAAAAGGCACCCCCACTGAAGGCAGTCCTTCCTGTAAACAAGAGGACATTAAGAGATTATTTTACTACCGCTACTTTTAACACACTTTGGGCATTGGGACTTACTTGTGCTTTAACACATAACAGTGTTAACTAAAATGCACATATAAAACCATGTGTGGACAATCTGAATTTGTCTAACTGGGCATAGAGAGAGCCCTTCCGTCTGCATCTCCTCTCCCACCCCCAGCTCCCACTACCCAGTATACTGTCTCCAAGACAAAATGAAGAATTCCATTCTCCCGTCCCCCAATGCAATCATACCTATGAATTAAGATACATGCCCACATTGGTCAAGCAGGTTACAGGGAAAATGGAACAGGGAGCCTTGAGGAAGAAGGGAAGATGCTTCTGTGCCAGGCTGGAAGACATTTTCACATTATGTGTATACACACATTGTGTGTACATTTATTCCACTACTGTATATATAGTTGAATGTAATACGTACTTTAAAAATTATCTAGTCTTTCAGGATGTTCTACAATTTCAGCCTGCCACACATTAAAAGTAGTAAAATAGTACATTTTGTAAAAGTTTCTGTTAAAATTCCTATGAATTAATGGGGTTTTAAAATTTTTTTTTTATGTATGTGCCTTTGGGCATTTTGAATTGATTCAGGCAGTACACGTGGTTTTTGTGCACTGGTTCTGAGGAGGAGTGAGGAAAAGGAAGTGCAAAAAGCTCTATGCCAGATTAAGCATTGTCCCTTATGTTTGTGCATCATTTTCTTCTGTGTATTTAAAGGACAAATATGCCATAATTTGCAACATCTAGTCATTCTAAATGTTAAAGTGGTTGCCAATGTATGACAAAAGTAGACAACAAAACTAATACATTTTGTGTTAAAATTCTTAGAATTGTCTAGTGAAAGCTGAGCATTTATAGCTCATTAGCTTATTGGAGGAGGGAGAAAGCGAGAAGCTTCTATGGGCCAGATGTAATATTTCAAAGACACTTTCACATTTTAACTATCTTATGTGTGCAGTTTTTCTCCCCAAACTATGAATAATATGCTGTGTATATAGTGGACTAAAACAGCCCTTATTTGAAACATGTAGTTTATCTGGATGTTTAGAAGTGCCTGATATATGTTAAAGTAGAAGTAGTAAACTATCACTTTTGTATATATCCCTTTGCTAAAATTCACAGGAATCATTACCTTTTGGAAATGGGCTTGTTAAACCACCTCTGGGCAATTTACAAATGTCTGTACTTGTTCATGTTTGGGAAGAGGTGGGAGGGAAGAAACTACAAAAGATAATATATTACTATGTTCATATTTGGACAGTCTCAGAGGAAAAACTGTTTTTCTATGTTGCAAGCATTTTGCTTTGCAGCGTATAGTGTCTAAAATGGACAAACAAGTTCTAATTTTACAACATATAGTCTCTAGATGTTAAAAGTGGTTGCCAATGTATGACAATGTAGAGTTAGGGAAAACAGCATATGTTGTACACTTTGTGAATTCGTGGGAAAGTTTTGTCTTCTGTAAATGACTTGGAGATGGATTTGTTTAATCACCTCCATGGATTACTTATGCCTGTACTTGTCTACGGGATTGGTGGCGAAAGATAGTGGCGGTGAAAGATAGTGAGGATAAGACCAAAATGGTCATATTTAGAAGATACCTCAGATTGTAACTATTGTAATGTGTGTGTACTTTTATTTTACCAGTACTGTGTACATAGTGGATAAGTATAGTATTTGAAATATCTAGTCTTTCTAGATGTTCAGATGTGCTTGGTGTATTTTAGTAGGCTAACACTTTGTAAATAGCTTTTTAGGATTAAGAGAAAATGTTCTCTTTGGGCATGAAATTGTGAAACACCTCTGTGAACCCTACACCTAGTTATTGCTTTTTCACTGGGTTAAGGGAGGTGATGAACAGAAATTACAAATAGTATTAGTGTGGATCAGAAAATTCCAAATTATCCGTTGCTGTATATTGCATACTTTTCATTTAACTTTGCTGTACTATATATGTTGGACAAGTGAGTCCTAGTTTTATAGTATCAAGTCTCTAGATAGTAAAAATGTTGCCAATGTATGACAAAAGTAGAGTTAGTAAACTAACACATTTTGTATATTTTGCTAAACTTCAGAGGGGTGACTTTGGGAAATGAAACTGTAAGTCCCCCTATAAGTATTACAGTTGTTTTACTTTTGTCACCTGGGTTGATGGAGATGAGCTAGGGCAGAGGGTGGGATTCTAGATCAGAATGTTTATTTAGAGAAAATTCTCAGATTTTAGCCTTTTTACAAATGTCCAGTTGATTTAATCCTGCTGTGTGTGTATTGGACAAACTCAGTCCTTATTGGAAACATTTAGAAGTAGTATTTCTAGATGCTTGGCAGTGCACAACATTAGAGAGAATTAAGGCAATGCCCTTTAAATACATTTCTTTTTAAAAATCATATTGTGCTCGCAGTGTCTCAGATTTTATTTTGAGGAGAAAACTTGCAATTTTGCCCTTAATACAATGATTGCTACAGATTTTTGTAGCTACTCTGGAGTGCGTTTATTATATACAAAAGGACAAATAGTTTGGGATTGTGTTTGTCGCTGAATGTTGAATTCTATCAAATGCCTTTTCTGCCATTAAGTTGATTATATTCTTTATTTTAGTATTATGGTTAAATGCATTGATTTTCTTTTTTTTAACCATTTTATTGAGGGCTCGTACAAATCTTATCACACTCCATGCATACATCCATTGTTTCAAGCACATTTACATATGTTGCCATCATTGTTTGCAAAGCATTTTCTTTCTACTTGAGCCCTTGGTATCAGCTCCTCATTTTTTCCCCTCCCTCCCTCCCTGCCTCCCTCCTTCCCTCCTTCTTTCCCTCCCTCGTGAATCCTTGATAATTTATAAATTATTATTTTTTCATGTCTTGAGCTGTCCGCTGTCTCCCTTTACCCCCTTGTCTGTTGTCCATCCCTTTGGGTGGGGGTTATAAGTAGGTCATTGTGATCAGTTCCCCCTTTGCCACCCCCCACCTTCCCCTTCCCCTCCTGGTATAGTTACTGACAATATTGGTCCTGAGTAGTTTATCTGTCCTATATTCCCTGTATTTCCAGCTCTTAACTGTACCCATGTACATGCTCTGGTCTAGCCAGATTTGTAAATTAGAATTAGGGACATGATAGTGGGGGTGGGGAGGTGGGATTAAAGAGCCAGAAGAGAGCTGTATGTTTCATCAGTGCTATACT